GTGTTTTCTGCTCCTTTCCCATATCTTAATCACTTATCTGATATGCGGTATTAATATTTAGGATAGGACACAATTTACATTCGAGGACAAATGGCCATACATGCGTCCAATTATATTGAAACTGCTCAAGCAAGAGCCAGTGACGCAAGGTGAATGGCAGGATTTGTTTTATTCCGTTCATGTATGCCTCTGGGATGACAAAGGGCCTCCCAAGTTACGTGATGCTTTGCAGGAGGATATAATGGACTTTATAAAACAAGCTCAACTGGTAAGAGAAAGGGAGTTTATTTATAAGTTAAAATCAAGACTATACCTTCAATATCTTTTTTATGTATTTTACTGAAATAAACGAATATTATACAAAGTTATAAATTTTTGTACAGAGAGTTTTAGCACATCAAGAAGAACAAGCATTATTGAAAGCATATATCGCCGAATGGAGAAAATTTTTTACTCAATGTAATTATTTACCAACACCATTTAGGCAATTAGAAACGTATCTCGCAGGTAAAACTAGTTCTTCCAGCACACAGAAGAAGACTCAGCCCGACGACATTGTTAGAAAGGTAAAAGACTTAAATACATTTGATACACGATACAATTAATATTTTGTAATATTGTATGATCTTACTCCACTCTATTATACAGCTAATGTTGGATAGTTGGAACCAAAGTATATTCAATGAAATAAAGCAAAAACTTCAAGATGCAGCCATGAGATTAGTACGAGCTGAAAGAAATGGCGAGGCATTTGATTCTCAGCTCGTTATCGGTGTCAGAGAATCTTATGGTAATAAATGAAACATCCATAAATTTATATATATTTATATAGCAATTTTTTCAATTAATATTGATATAATGCTTTAGTGAATTTGTGTTCAAATCCAACGGATAAACTTCAGATATATAGAGAAAATTTTGAAGCGGCGTATATACAAGCCACTGAAGCATTTTACTGGATAAAGGCTCCAGAATATCTGTCTATGCACGGTGTCGAAAATTATATGCGTTACGCTGATTTGAAATTAAGGGAAGAAGAGGCACGCGCTCAGAAATATTTGGAACCAAATTCTGCGAGTATGCAACGACTAACGGATTGTTGCGTGAAAGTGTTAGTTGCAACCTTTAAACCAGCGATACTCGCTGAATGTCCACGGATGATTCAACATAATCAAACTGATAGTAAGTAATCAAAATTTAAATGTAATTTTTTTATGTCTTAGTTTACGATTAATTTTACAGTGCTGCTTCTATGATCAGTGTTTATTAACATGAATAAATTGTAGAACTTCGCCTCATGCTGAAATTAATGGATAGAGTACCCGATGGCGTCAATCCTATGTTGAGAAATCTGGAAGAACATATCGCAAGCGCAGGTCTAGCGGATATGATGGCAGCTGTAGACGTTATCACTCAAGATTCTGAAAAATACGTGGAAAGACTGTTAGATCTTTTCCATAGATTTTCCACACTCGTTAAAGAGGCATTCGATGATGATCCACGGTTTCTTACAGCACGAGATAAAGCTTATAAGCTCGTTGTGAATGACGCCACGGTATTTAAGTTAGATTTGTCTACTCGGCAGGGCTCTGGAATCTGCTGCGCATCCATTTTAAATAATAGACCTATTACTAATAATAATGGACTAGCCGAATCGAAGTGTCCAGAACTCTTAGCAAATTTCTGTGATATGCTTCTTAGAAAAACACCACTCAGTAAGAAACTAACTACTGATGAAATCGAAAATAAATTGAAGGATGTGGTCAGTATATACAATGAGATAACTATATCCGTAGAAGTTAGAAATCAAATCTTTCCTGAGAAATTTATTCTGTCCCGCATTTTTTATTTTAGCTGTTGGTGCTAAAATATGTTCAAAATAAAGACGTATTTATGCGTTATCATAAGGCGCATTTAACTAGACGGTTAATATTAGATACGACAACGGATTCGGAAAAAGAAGAAAATATGGTAGATATGCTTCGTGAAGTCGGCATGCCCGCGGATTTTGTTAATAAATTAGCCCGTATGTTCCAAGATATTAAAGTATCTCAGGATCTGAATCAACAATTTAAGGAACAATGTCGAGCTGCTATTGCAGATAGCATAAATATTAAGGTAATGTACTGTTTCTTGATGAATGTGCGTGTTCTCATTTAAGATTAGTATAAAAAAGAAATAGAAAAGGTGTTTAAAATATAAAGAGAATCTGCTATATTTTTTGTAGATTCTTAATGCAGGTGCATGGGCTAGGGGTAGCGAACGCGTCACTGTAAGTTTGCCACTACAACTGGAAGACTATATTCCGGAAGTGGAAGAGTTTTATAAAAAAAAGCATAGCGGAAGGAAATTGCAATGGCATCATCACATGTCGAATGGCACGGTACTTTACACATAATTCTATCCGTATTCAGTACTCCAAAACATGTTAATCTCAATGCATATTTCATGACGTGAATGTTTCAGATAACATTTGCAAATAAGGTGGGACGATTTGATATAGATGTGACGACCTTCCAAATGGCAGTATTGTTTGCCTGGAATCAACGACCCAACGAAAAGATCTCTTACGAGAACCTCCGGTTGGCTACCGAGCTTCCGGATCCCGAACTGAGACGGACTCTGTGGTCTTTGTGTGCCTTCCCGAAGTTAAAACGGCAACTTCTTTTGGTGGAACCACATGCCGCTACCCCGAAAGATTTTGCGAACGATACGAGATTTTGGGTTAATCAAGAATTCGCTATTGTGTTAGTATTTATTTTTATGTTAATAAGAAATATGATATATTTCAAATTATAAATATGAATACGTGTTGCATATTTAATTGGTTTGGCTTGATCTCGTTTGTTTTTCTAAGTTTAATATTCATGAGTAATAACATGCATTTTATTCTAAAAATAATATTAACTATATTGTAACTAATTGCGATATTTCTTCGTTAGAAAAAATGGCAAGATGCAAAAACGAGGAAAAATTAATTTAATAGGACGTCTTCAATTATCAACTGAACGTAGCAGAGAAGAGGATAATCATTGCATTGTACAACTCAGAATATTACGGGTTCAGGTATAAACTTTTAATTTTAAATAAAATAGTTAAATAAAATATAACACATAGCAAAATATGATTGATGTTTATTTAGTTTAATTGATGATTATGAATAATTCTTATCTTTTGTGATTATAGGAAGCTATCATTACAATCTTAAAGATGCGCAAGATGATCACTAATGCGCAATTACAGACCCAACTAGTGGATATATTGAAAAATATGTTCTTGCCGAGTAAAAAGATGATAAAGGAACAGATCGAATGGCTTATTGAACAAAAATATATTAAGAGACACGAGGATGACATTAATACGTTTGTGTACATGGCATAACACGGGATTATATATACATGCGAGATTGTTCGAGCTCTATGGCTAATATTATATTTTTATAAAAAAAAAAGGATTTAGTTTTCTCATATGTGGGAATACGTTCGAGTCCGTCGCATTGTGTGATTATGTTTCACCTGTTTTCTTACAGTGCAGTGGAAAGAAAGGACGATATACTATTGCATTAAAACTTGAGATACGAAATCGACAGGACGAGTTGCAATCACCTCCACCCAACAATTGCCGACTTATTATACGTGTGAATAAAGTGAATTGTATAGAAAAACTGGAAAAATGTCGCAATAATAATAAGAAAGATGTACAATATCGTATCATGATGAAACTAGCATTTATCGTTTATTTTGGCATTGATTTATATTAATTTGAATAGAGAAGAAAAAGTGGGTTAAATTAAAAAGGAGAGAATTATATATGTATATACATACATCAATGGCACATTACCACAACTTTAATCGTTTATACTTCGCTAAAAAGATATTCCTGAAATGTTTTTATATTTTTTTTCTCGAATCTACTTGTATGAATATACAAGCAGAATGTAAACTAAATTTGTCAACTTAAATCTGTTGTACATTATCGACACGTTGCAACAATTTGGCACTAAAAATATCGATAAATCCTTGCACAAATCTGAACGACAGTGCACGTATATATGTACATTGCATTAAATTCAATCATAAATAATAAAAATTCGCATATACTTGAATAAATATATATATATACTATATAATGTTTTACATACGGATTTACTCGTCATTCTAATTAAATGTGGACTACTGCAAACCATTCGTTCGGATATTCTCCATACGGTATAACACATTCTTTTGATTTAGCCCTAGAATTTATAATCAAACTTACGGACGGCGTTCGAAGAAATGTTCATAATTTTCATTTTCCGAAGACACATTAAAAGCCCAACGAATAACGTTGTCTAATGGCCTATAATACTTTAATGCGTATAAGCATATACCTCGCAACATCAAACTTGATTTTAACGGTGATAGGAATATATGTATTTGTACGATGATTTTTTTCTACATCTGGAACAGTCACGATGATTCGAATTGTTGGAATAAGTCAGAAAAAGTAGTTATTTAAGCAAATAATAACGACGGTTATATGTATAAAGTTTTTATATAACTTCAATAAGTGAAAGACGAGTGTAATGGTATAAAATCTCAATGAATTAAACGACAGAGTACTTCATAACTGTGTACAATACGTCCTTATCAAATCGATTTCCATTTTACCTATTATTATGCAGATAAACGCAATGACTTTCACGCGGCAACAAGTAGTGTTTACATCAGGCTCTATACTTTTATATATATATATATA